CAACGTTTATTTATCTTTGGGACAGAGAGAGACAGAGCATGAACGGGGGAGGGGCAGAGAGAGAGGGAGACACAGAATCGGAAACAGGCTCCAGGCTCTGAGCCATCAGCCCAGAGCCCGACGCGGGGCTCGAACTCACGGACCGTGAGATCGTGACCTGGCTGAAGTTGGACGCTTAACCGACTGCGCCACCCAGGTGCCCCAAATTAAAAAATTTTTTAAATCACTTGGCTTAGTGCATTGTATTGGATATTGGAATACCCAAGGTATATTTTGCTTGATTAGATTGGTGAGCCATCATATAATCTCTGTTCTAAATACCTTTGAGTTGAGTGTATTTCAGTGTGGTTTTGACACTTAAGTTGTTTCTGTACTTAAATATTTTATCTGTGTCATTAAGTTATTTAAACCTCTTTGCACATCTCTCAAAATGTACATCTAAAATGCATTTGCTTTCTAAATACAGTATATTTCTTTTACATTGGATATATAAAATTTAATGATTCTGACATTAAGGTGGTTATCATACTTCAATCAATTTTGAAATAAACTTCTTAAAATTGACTATTTTACCTCTTTCATTTGATGTTTTGAATATTATAATTTTAGGTCAGATATAGGAGGGGTTTCTGAGGGATTTTTGCTGACTTTAATGTGACTTATGTATTTGAATTTTTTTATGAAAAAGAATTGTCAGCTGCAATTCCTTTTAGTGAGTGTAAACTAAGGGAAAAAATTCTGAGAATTGGTACTCATGGTATATGTGGACATATGTTAACTGTATTATATATAATAGCAGCCACCAGAATTAACCCCTGGCAGCCATTTTATTCTTTTTAATACATTTTTGAGGGAAATAAAACTGACAGTCACTGGTGCTGTCTCTTTGTTAGGTCCTTTGCTGTGCACTTTGTATCTTTTGTCTTAAGAAATCTTTACCATAGCCATGTGAGGTTGAGGTGGTGTTTGTCCTTTATTCCAGATGAAGAAGCTAGCTCTGGAACCAGCCTCTTAAGGTCACAGAATAAAACAATGGTAAAGCTAGAAGGTAAACGTAAAACTGCTGGTTATGAAGCCCATGCTTGCTTCATTATGTCACATGACCTCTTAACATGTTTATTTTGAGTCTTTAGAATAACAGCTACATTCCTATAAGGGTTAACCTAATCATTTGGTGTATTTTTTGTGTTAAAGAAGGAAGATTTCTTTTGGCAGGGTTGAGTCAAGGGCAGATGATCAAGGCCTCTGCCTAGGTTCAACCCAAATGATATAGAAAAGAGTTCTGGCCATTGTGCCCGTCCTTTTCCTCCTCCTTCTTCTAGGCTGGCCATGCAGCAATTTTCTCAGAAATCCAAGAGAAAAAAGTGTGAGTACTTCCTCAGAAATCTTGGCATTCTAGATAGGATGGGGGGGACTCTTGATCCCAGATAGAAAGGCCTGGGATCAGACATTGCTGAGTAAGATAGGGATCAAGTCAGGCTGGCTGAGGAGTATGTTAGAACTCTTAGAGCAAAGATAGAATTGGAAACAGAGATAGAGTATTCATAACTATTCAGTTTTTCCAATCGAACCTTCAGTAAAATCTGAGGTTACCCAGAATGCTTATTAAAGAACATATTCATGGGGATGCCCGGCTGGCTCAGTTGGTTAAGCTTCCCATCTTGGCTTCAGCTCAGGTCATGATCTCATGGTTTGTGAGTTTGAGCCCCGCTTTGGTCCCAGCACAGAACCTGTTTGGGACCTTCTCTTTCCCTCTCTGTCTGCCCTCCCCTGCTTGCTTGCTCACTCTCTCTCTCAAAATAAATAGATACACTTAAAAAAAATAATCCAG